CGCCCCAAGGGGATGTTTCTCTTTGCGCCCTCCAAACATTTTGGGGTTGAACCCGTCTGGGGTCTAACAGTCTAACAATCATAGTAGTGGTTGACACTAAAGTAGACTCAGTAGACCCGTTGTAAATACATGTAAATACAGTCCAGTGGTTTCAGAGTAGATGGCACAGCCCCCAAGATGTCCTGTAAATGGTGTTTCCATACAAATCACCGCACTTGGGGGTCCCTTGCTCCTACTCTGAATTCACGAGTGACCACTCCAAGGAGTTACACCCAAACACGCTCTCTCTCTCTCTCTCGTGCGGGATCTCCCGAAGAAAACGCGCCAGGCGGCGGAAGCGCCACTGGAGTCTCCACCGGTTCCAAAGCGGACTTCCCGGAAGGCGCATACGTCACCCGTCACTGGTCCACCCGTCGGGTGCCGGCAATCACCACGGGTCGCATTTCCCGGACCGTTTTTTCGGGCTGGGCTTCCGGACGTGGGGGTATTTCCCGGACGTGGGCACTGGGCACCGGTGTTTTTCGGTTTTTCCTTGTCTTTTTGTTTAATTTTTCGGTGCTGAAGAAGGTGCCGTGGTCAGATGTGACGGGATGTGATGCCGTGCCAGCGGCATGGGAGGTGTCAACAAACATGAGTCAACACATAGCATGAAACGTAAAGTAAGTTTGGGTGAGTGAAACATTGGTAGAACATGTCTGCCTGTTTCTGCCCGTTGCCCCCTTGATCCACAAGCAACCTGTACGTAGAGGTTCTGGACCTCAGACTTCCTTTCCAGATTTCGGTGCCAACCGCGGTGCCAACCGCGGTGCCGTTCGTGGCCCACCCTCTTTGGACACCTTGTCGAGGTGTGTCCATGCCGCGCCCAGGGAAGCATCCCTAAAGCTACGCTGAAGCGCTTGATGGCGGAGCTCTCCAGCTCTCCGGCCAGAAGCGGGCGCCGTTTTGGGGGCATGGCCAAAGCTGGTTTGCAAAGAGAAAATGTATTCTCATCCTCTAGATATTTTTCTACATCATGTGGTGAGGTACAGTCTGCATCACCCTCAATGTTACTTTCGCGTGATCATTTAGGCAATCAAAGAATATCCATCTTCCACCAGCATCCTCCAGCAAGACAACTTCTCTGGAGGAATCTACAAGTTGATTGCTATGTGTGGTGATAACAAACTTCCATCAACACACTGACCTACCGCTCCCGACTGAAAGACATCTGAATCCAAGAAGACGTGGGGATGGGTGTCCTGTTGTCCCCTCATTTGTGAATCTTACACTCTCACTCCCTGTTTAAACACAGGCGGTTTTCCACTTCCATCTAAATGAGGTGGAGTGTAGTGACGGTCTTTCGTCTCCCTCGACTCCTTCGATTTCTTGCTTTGAACCACCCGAATGCCGAGGTGAAGAGGACGGTGGCGTTCTTGGAGGGCGAGATGAAGCAGTGATTCATCCACTGGTTGAATCACTAGTTTAGTGGGTACAGCGTGGAACATCAATGTGGACAGATTGGAGAGGAAGCAGTTTTCAATACTGATGTTTCTAGGGTAAACCGTCCGTTCTGGGGTCGGGGACCGCTGTGCCGGCTGTGCCCGTTGTTTGTGGACTATGGATCCGGTGGACCTTTCTTTGCTTGTGAATCGAACACTCAATAGGCCGTTGATGGCCGTTGGCGAGAGGTGTCGGTTCCCTCATGTTGCCTCTATTTCTGCCCGCTTTGCATTGGATTGTGGCTTTACAAACCATGGATGTTCTTTTATTTTCCTATTGCACACGAAGCCTCAGTAGCTGGTCACCCAGATCCCTGTCAGCAAGTTCAGCACGTTGACCCTGCTTTTCCCGTGCAATCCCTGTTGCCCAATCCCTTTCGGCGCCATTCGGCGCTGGTGCCGGTGCTTTCACCGGTGCTTTGTTGGCGCGACCTCCGGAGCGCCCCGAGGTCCAGCCGCGACAGCTGCAGGGCGGCGTGACGCGCAGCAGGTACCGGGCGTAGCGGCGGGACACGCGAACGTCCACGATTCTGAAGGCCTCCAACCTAGCTTCTTGCTAGTAGTAATGGCCTCCAACCTACAAGTAATGGCGATGGCCTCCACCTACTAGCTTCTTGCTACTAGGTCCCAATGGAATTTGACCTACCAGGGGCCATCCGACCATCTGGGTGCCCAATGGCCTGCTGTTCCACTACTTCTGAATCTCCATTGGACACCTGTTCAATGGTCCAGGTACGAACGGCTGTTTTGGAGTTTGCATGACCTACGTGTCGTGGATGAGTTTGGAGCGGGCCACATATCTCCAGGCCTCGCGTCGCATCCTTCTTTTGTTTTTCGGTCGCCTGAGGCGGAGATGGAGGACCGCAGGAAGTGGGCACCCCAGGGGGGCTACAGTTCACGTTCCGACCCTTTGGGCTCGGTTCGGGGGTCTTCCTATCAAAATACATACCCAGCTTGTCCTCAATCCAGCTCGTGACATCAGACCTGTGAGAGAGCCCCAGTTGAAAGGACGCACTTGTGATTTATGGTGCATGGCCCTATCCAAGACATCTTCCGCAAAGAGCGAAGAGTCTTTTTGTTCTTCAAGTTTGACCTTGTATTTGTACAGTATACAATAGTAGTATAACAGTAGTACAGTAGCAACTCAGCTTTATAGTTCGTAGTAGTTGGACCAGTTAGTAGTTAGTAGTAAGTACTAGACAGGAGTAGTTGTGGTGGTGGTAGCTGTAGTAGTTGTTGTTGGGTGGTTGTTGTTGTGGTTGTTGTGGTGGTATTTGTAGTGGTGGTAGTAGTAGTAGTTGTTGTTGTAGTTGTAGTCGTTGTAGTAGTAGTTGTAGTTGTAGTCGTAGTCGTAGTCGTAGTAGTAGTAGAGTAGTAGTAGTAGTAGTAGTAGTAGTAGTAGTAGTAGTAGTAGTAGTTGTTGTTGTTGTTGTTGTTGTTGGTTGTTGGTTGTTGGTTGTTGGCTGTTGGCTGTTGGCTGTTGGCTGTTGGCTGTTGGCTGTTGGCTGTTG